TACCTTCTCAGCTTCGCATCGAAGCTAAAATAAAATTGAGAATTTTCACACAATAATAGCATTTGGTAGCCATTTTCACCGTGAAGACAAAATAAAGTCCGACATTTTTTTTTTCCATGATAAAGTATATTACATTAGCTTTAATTTAAGATATATATAAAAGTGTCAGACNAGCTCAGAAAAAGTGGTAACAAACACAAAAAAAAAAAATAATAAACACATTTTAGTAAAACCAATACCTTTTCAGCTTCGCATCGAAGCTAAAAATGAGATTTTGAATAGTTTTTCTTTTTTAATTTTAGGAACATTGTATTAGTTTTAATTTTATAAAGGCCTAAAATTTTTGGAACATTTTGATATAATTTTAAGACTTTGCAGTAGCTTGGTTAATGATTGGATTTTCAAAAACTGTATGTCGCCAGCAAATAAAACATTTAAAGTATTTCAATAATAATTGTAAAATTATTATTGAAATAATTCACCGTTCATTTTTCAAAAAGTTATTTCATATGAAATTAAAATTAAAATATCAACATTGACTTTTTATAATAAATATATTTTTTCCTTTATAATGGAGATTGAGAGGGATAATCAAAATTATATTGCTATAATTTTGAAATATTCCTCTCAACTATAATAATGATAGCTTCAAATAGATACATTTTGTATTCTTTAAGCAAAATCGTTATAGTAGGAGCGGAGTAATCATATATAGTGACACAATAACAAAATAAAACCCAATACCTTTTTAACTAAGCATCGAAGCTAAAATACATTTTAAATATTTTTTTTTAACATACTTGATTTTTTTCTGCAATTAGGACAACAACAATATTTTTCAGGCGGCTCAACAATCTCTGACTGTAAAACGCTAAAAGAATCAGTCTGCAGAATATTTTGATCATTGACATTTCTATTATTGACTTCAGGGGTATCTACACGGTCTAACACCTCAACAATGGCTTTGTTAAATGGCCGTCCCAAAGAACCATTTAGCCCTGAAGTATGATCATGCTCAGAATTTTCTGTCATCGATTCTTTATTGATACCATCTTTAGGAGTTATATTATTATATGTAAGTATTTTAGCTTTTTTACTTTCTCCGCTATCTTTATTTATGTCATTCAATTTTTTCATGTTATTTTTCAATAAAAATTTCGTATTATTATCATTATTTTCTTTTAATTGAGATTGATTTTCATAATTATGGTTGTCTATAACTTCAGTAATCGCATTGTTTTTAATATTACTTTTTTCAAATGAATTAACTTTATTACTAACTGTGGAATCTTCAGAACTCGTTATCTTTATAGCCGTCTCTTTCAGTATGTCTTTTTCAGTTACTGCTATGTCTTGGCTAAAATCGGTCGGAGAAACAAAATCTTCTTGCCCTTTTAATTGTTCTGCTATACTTGAATTTCCTAATGTTTCTGACTTTTTATCTGTTTTTAGATCAATAGACTTTGTAGAAAATGTAACTGTTTTATTACCGCCTAATGAAGTAGATCCTACTATAGTTTTCTCTTTTAATACTATTGGAGAAACTTTTGCGTTTTTTTTATTTGAGTCTCGCATAGATCCTCTCTCTGTTTTTTGGTTAGCTTCTATGTGATAAGCTGTCTGTTCAATATTTTTATCAATTTCCGTATCAGAAATTGTTATTGCTTTTTGGTTCGATGTTGACACTGTTGTTTTATTTTTAATCACATCTACATCAGAATTAGCATTTGTAATTTCACCATAATTTATGACGTCGCCTTCATAATGGGATTCGAACTCTGCACTGGGATGTTCATTTAATTCATTATAATTGCTGTAAAAATAAAAAAAAACATTATTAAAAATTTTTTTGAGATTCTAATAAACCTATAAATTTCTTTTTAATGGGAATATTAAAATTTTAAAGAAATCTATAGACATACAAAAGTAAGAGAGAAAAGGAAAAAAGATTATCATTATATAAGATGTATTAAAAATGTTGATAATAGGAAACTCTCGAATGATGATGATGTAAAAAAAAGATGAAAAGAATATTTTGAAAAATTACTGAATGAGTATCCAAAAGATTTAATTAGTGATAATGAGGTATCAGAGGCTGTGGCATCAATGAAAAAGAATAAAGGAGTGGGACCAGATGAAGTGCCAGTAAAAGTATGGAAAATATTAGGCTAATAAATATAGGAAAATAATATAGCTTCTTCAATTTTATAAAACATTTATATAGAAAAAATTATATTGATTTGATTATTTTTAAAAAAGTTATACTAATTTTTAGTAAAAAAAATTGAAAAAATTTCGAAAATTAGCGATTTTTAAATTTGTAATTTTTTTGGAGGTTTCCCTCATTTACGGGGAACGAGGGAAATTTTTTCAATTTTTAAGGGTAATGTCTTCGACTAGAAACGATTTTTGATTTTTTGACGTATCGTTGAAAGAAATCCGTTCGGTTAGAGCTCAGAAAAAGTGGTAACAAACCCAAAAAAAAAAAAAAATAAACACATCTTAGTAAAACCAATACCTT